TCTTTTTCAGTATGCACGTGTCAGTTTAAACGTCCAGGGCGTACAATTAAATAGCCTAATCATCGAATTCCACAACATCACCCATCAAAGCTGACTAAGAGACACATGAAGACAACAAAATGTTCCAGATATACTCAACTGGTTGTTAATACTTACCAAATAGTAATAAATAAATCATCGATTCAATCTATCGTATGGTTAAAATCTTCGTCTTCTGCTGGTGATCACGGAAGTTAATGCATTCCATTTATACAAACCAAGGCTTTTCATTCGAATGAAAGTTTTACAACTGATCAACTATTTTGACAGACAAACTATTTGTAAATTAATCGCCCATTTGTTCAACTCATTATTTATTCTCGTATCTTCTTCTATCTTCCCACTGTCACATAAATGAGGTTAACATTTAACCCCTGAGATATAAATAATGACCTCACTGGACAAATTTGTTTTTACCGATGTCATTCTTCGGAGTTGGCCGGTAGTACTTAAGTAGAATCTATGCCTACATATAATCGTAAAGAATGCCAATATAGTATGAACAGTTAATGGTCGACTGGGTCACGAAAACGATAAGCGAACAGCAACTACGTGAGAAGTATAGAGATATTTGGTAGGAAGAATAATTAACTGATGTAAAAACAATCTTGAGTTGAAATCAGCAGACGAATAACATAACAAACTGCTTGTTCCATTATAACTGAGGAAGTAAGAAATATACAAGATAAGAAGTTGGTATCTAAAGTGAAAGTCTATTTCAAACAAAACGAAGTTAGTTAACTCCAAAGATTTGTAGTTTGAGAAAGGGAGTCAGGGAACCAAGAAGAAAAACTACTTATGAACACACAATTCTAACTTTAATATTGCTGAGGCTTCAGAAATGGATTATGTTGGCAGCCAGACGCTTCCAGTAGTATCCAAACCCAATCCAGCATAACCTACCCTCCTCACTTTTGTCTCCTGCCTCGCCTTCACTTCCTCATGCCAGTATTCAGCCTTTCACATATTCTTCAACCTGCCAGCCTGTGTGCATTGTCAATGGTCGAAGCCAGAGAATCAGGATTCCTAGTCCTCTGAAACAGCGCTGGCAATTTCACATTGCAGCTCTCAACAACATCCCAAGCCTCCAGTAAATCGGCTAACAGGTGTCTCTTGCGAAAACTCTGGAATCTCGAGGCATGTGTGTGTGCTGTGTTCGTCAGACACGTATGTGTACAAGATCCGAGTGTGGTTATTCACTTGACTACACCTCACCGACACGGTGAATCTTCAAAATTCACTTCATGAGTGTGCGCAGATTAAGTAGTTGGCGCCTGCAGTTTGTCTGATGTAGGTATAGCATTAAGTTGTCGAGCTGACTGCACACTTCTCCACTGGATACCTATGATCAACCATCTGCATGCTATTGTGCTACTGGATGGATGTGTCAGATCTAAGAAGTGTCATGAGACTTGCCGACGTCTATTCACTCATCATCTCTGGTTATGTGTCTTCAAGCAGTTCGAATGATACGAAAGGGATGAATTGGATCCGGGGCTGTCGATTTGGTTGCATAAATCAAAGCTTTCAGATATCATCATGCTAATATTAGACTCAAACAGTCAAGTAAGCTTGCTGGGTGGATCGGATAGGCACTTTTTTCATGCCACAATGGTGATCACCTTTTGTAATTCGGTTCTGACAACCACTTGTTTCCAGCCAGTACCAACTCCAACCGTGAGCACAGACACTGACTCACTTAAGTCTATTGTAGAAACAGCGATAAAGACAGTTGATAACCTACGCCCGAACACTAATAAACGACAATGAATTCCCGCAACATCATCCAAACTGATTGATGCTCCTCAGTAAGGAGCAAAAGTAACTTATTCTTAAGGTAACCAAGAGTTTTCGCAAAGATCACCAACAGTGGTGGATGGCAAAAGCATCAGAGATATGTAACACTTAGAACCTACTTAAGCTTATTAAGGACATCGGAAAAAAGATGATGGTAAGTGAAACCATCATCGAAAAGGATGAGACCCTGGTAATCTCCCAGAAAAGACGGGTGGCACGTTGAGCAGAGTGCAGAGCAGCGCTTCAGTTGCCTAGCATCCAGCCAATCCAAAATTAGATCGGATTTAGATGTCCGTCAGCTATTTCTTATCGAAGTTGAGAATGCTGTTTCAAATGCAAAACTACAGAGACTGTTAGTATTAAATAGTCAAATACCTTTTTTCTACTTTAAAAAAATCTTTAGTCAAGTCAATTGTGTTTAGAATAAAAAAGGGCGTTAGAATACGATTGACCTTTGTTAAATACATGTAATATTCACTGCTTGACAGTGAGCTAAATAAAAAAGTCAATTACAAAAGTATTCATATAAAGTATTTTACTTACAAAAGTACAGTATAATGTTTTTAGAAAGGCAGATGATTGGTTGCACTTATAACACAGCTTTTGTATAATATCAACAAATCAGGTAGTGAGACAAAAAAAACGGCTGTATTCAGTTAGCATCTATTAATCCATTAGGGTGTTCAACGAATACTTAACTCATTTGAGTGAATCCAGGACGCATGTTTCGTCCTATTTGTGGCTCATCAGTCGGATGAAACGCGCCTCCTGGATTCCATTGTCAGTTACCAAGATGAAAAGTCGTAAAACATGACTTGAAACCAGTTGAGGGAGTTTCACTTTGTCTTTTACATTAACAGTGCGATGACCTTTAACGGGTAAGGGAAATAATAATAATGACTTTATTCTGAACAATGCTTTTGTACAGCTAGGAATTTTCAGTATAATATATTCCAACTATACGTATTCCTTTACAACAGTTTGACAGGGTCAATACAACAATTTCTGAAAAGAAAAATAATAATGAGGAAAATTTTACGTTTTTAGTTGAACCCCTGGTCAGAGATTATTTCAACTTGGGGTTTATGGGGATTTATTGATTTCAAGTTGGTATTCATCATGGACTGACGTCAGTTGGAGGAACACTGGGAGAGTGCTGGCTACGGACCCGGAGTCTCGTCTCCGGCGAGGTCATAGGTGCACACTTCTGAGAAGTCTCATACCCGGACGAAACAGCTGTCCAGTCCTCTCAAGTTTTCACTTTTTCTAAACTCATATTAGTCCAAGATGAACAGCAACCAAAGATTATTTATTATTTCAAAGATGGTAAGTGGGATTGTAATTTCCGGAATAGTCATAAGCTTGAGAACCTGTTGTCATCCACCACGGTGCTTTTCCTTAGTTTAACTATCGACTTGTACAGCAATATTGTTATTCTTATATATTATCATTTGTCCCTTGGGTTCCTAATGGAACATACGGCTTCAGTAGCACGTCTCCATTACACTCTTGTCTCTGCAATCTTTTCAACATGGCTGCATGACTGCCCACAAGCTCTCATTTCTTCCTCATACCATCTCCTCCATGTAACCCTCGCCTCATACACCCAACTCGCCGTTTCCCATCTGCGTTCCACTCAAAGGCCTCGGCTGGCGCGTGATGTCCCCAATCAGTCTTCTCAGTGCATGCCCAACCCAATCCATCTCCACTTCCTTCTGCATATTTGTTGAACCATCGGTTCTTGGTTAGTTCGTTGCCCAGCCAGAGTTCCTTGTTGCTTATTCTTTCTGGCCATCCATCTGATTTTCAGTATCGAGTCAGCGTAGGCAGTTGTTGATGAATGTCTGTAGTTTGTTGGAAATCCCTTTCGTGACGCACCAAGTCTCTCAACCATCGCACAGAAGCACTGACTTGACATTGGTGTTGAAAATACGGATCTTGTTCATACTTTGTCCTGAGTGCAGAAGATCTCCACACTGGTTTCAGGTTAATGAACGCGTTTTGCTCTTCCGATCCTGGCTTTGACGGCAATAGGCCGTAACAATTTTAAAAACGAGCCAAAGTACATAATAAGATTAGATAACAAGACTGAGTGATTAAAACAATGTAGAAAGTTGATGCAATGTATTCCGTGGTAAAATGAGGTAGCCTAAAGTTCAAGCAGGTCACCTAAAAGGGATGAGTAGAAATCATCTATGAATGATTTCTTGTTTAAACTACCAAACAAATGAGTAGATAGAAACCACTTACGCTAATCTATAGAAATCGCCAGCCATATCAGAGTGATCTAAACACCGGATGGTCATTTAGCTAACAGACGACGGTTAATTTGCAAATGAGTTCGAACTATTTATGTTGTTCAGTAGTATATTTCGTCAGTTCAAGAAACTTGTGTCAAGGATCACAACTTGGGATTATGATTGCCAGATGGTTTCCAACGTAAACCCTGTTGACATCACAGTTTGGTTGTTGAAGAACTAGTCACCTGTGAGAAATATCAACGTCGACTATGTAATTTGTAAATCATCTACAAGTTAATCATCCTACTGGGAGTTTTATCCGATAATTTTTCCTGTAGGTCTTTGTAGAACCATCATTTGATTGTTTGCGGTATGCTTCACAGTGCTACACTGTACTTAAAGTCATTCATGAATCATCGCACTCCAGCTACTACTAAACACCTAGAAGTAGTCTATAATTAAGGGAATGTGTTAAATTAAATAGTTACATCAGTTATCGCAGCTATACATCAAGTAATCAAGATATTTCCAAAGAAAGTTACGTTCAAAATATATTACTACTTACTTTATCCCTTTAACACTTCCACTTTCATAGTTTGATTCTAAGAATTGTGAGAGTTTTGATAGACATATTCAGGAGAACACTGCATAGGTTGGTAGAGGCCTATCATGCAATTGAATGTAAAGGCGTAAATTAAGGAAACTTCAGTACGATAACGTTAGTGATGGCAAAAATGAAGTTACGGTAGTGGAAGAAGAAAAGGTTATCGATTGAAGTATGAAGCTATCTAACACATCGAGCCTAAATGTATTATAAAGACTGAGATGTCAGAAGAAAGCTGTAAAGGTGTTATCAAGTTACCAATAGTTAGCTTTACAACACTGACTGCACTCTTTCTATCAATAATTAGTTATTTTTGAGGACTTCTGATTAGAGGAAACCTGATAGCAGGGAAGTTTGATGATTTAGAACTTTAAACGACAAGTTATCTTTGTCTCTTCTACCCCTGGTGGGAAGACAGTATTGTTAGTAGGTTGTCAAATATGTTTTATTAAAAAATCCAGGAATATCATACCTTCTTGAAATTGCGTTGTACTGCATCACTCTTCAAATGACTCTGCCAATGTTGGAAGGTTCTCAGAACATGAGTTTGAGATTAAGTAGCTTCTTTGGGTAAAAAGTAAACAAATCTGTTGGTCATATCACGGGAAGCGATGTTTGACGGGAACTGTAGAAAAGAAACATTCGGAAGCAAAGTACGATAAACAGTAATCGAATCCACTTCAAGGATACCTGAATATTTGCTTTCAAGATGGTATGACATTCACTATTGCTTATACCAACATAGATAATCCCTAATTACGTAGCAACTAAACCGCTTAGTTCCCCAGCCTGATACGGTATAATATCTTGTAACTGTTATGTGTCACTCTTACACTGGTGAGAAGGTATAACTTCCCTCAGGGCGCCAAACATGCCTTGCTGGTGGGTTTCAACAAAGAAAAAACTGAGACCAAGTGATGATTCTTCCAGATTAAATTCAACCGTCTAACATCAATTAAAGTGCCCTGAGATGGCGAATCTCTTAGGTTTGGTGTCAGTTGGCAAGCTTGATCAATAGAGCATGCAGTTCAGACTCTCCGGTGATCAATCACTGTGTTTAGTCCAGTAAGTTTATCACTGCCTGAATAGCCTACAGTCTATTCAAACCTGGTAATTCATCAGATACTTCAATGAATCTTGAAGAGAACTCATGCCAAAGCTGCGGAATCTTCTTTCGAATCTCTATCTAGAATGTAGGTAACAATACGACTGAACAATTTACAAGACGATAGTGTAAAAGTGACTTCAATACAGAGAGAAAGACTCAATTACCATCTGGCGACCAATTTCTGAGTATAATCCTATCCTACAGGAGTTATATGCATGCTAAATAACCTATCACAACTGAGTGATGCAAGCTTAAATCTTGAAAGAGGGATAAGCTTCCAAGATACGACGAAATCCCCATAGTTAGACAGGGCTTCCTGTCGACCAACTTTAAACACCTAATATCACCGACAGTATTGTATACAGACAGAATACGAATGAGTGATGTCAAAATAGAGAAAGTAGTGGGAGTGAATAAACAAGTTGAAGACAAAGGTTAGTACGAATATTCAAGCTTCGGAAGATGTCAAGCAGTGAATACACCTGCGCCGATGTGACCGATTTTAAGCCATGTCGCTTAGAGTACCCAACCATTGATTCCTATTGTCTCGAGGACCCCAGTATAGCTTACAAGATACGGCAAAATAAAATCGAAACTGTAACTTGAATGTTAGTCTTTTTTATATATTTGATTCATTTTATCGTCCTCAGAAAGAAAAAGAAATAAGCGAATACAGTAAATTAGCATGTAAATAATCAAAGATTATCACAAACACAGTGCAACAGGGATACGATGACCGGTCATAAAGTCACTGAAATTTATCCTACGGATGTTATCTTTCTTCTCATGATGGTAATGATACGGACTATAGATGAATGAAATATTATACTAAAGAAGACAAAGAAGGAGAACACACATGTAGAATAAAGGCAGGAACATACAAGGCAAGAATCTGTCCGAAATGGAGAATGCACGAACGCGATGGGAGCTTGGCAAAAACATAAATACAGGCAGAGGATAAAGGGGAACAAAACAACACAGTTAGAAGAAAATAACTCAAAATCAAAGAATGACAGTAGAATATACTGATTATGATCATTGTTGCATACAGTTTGTTTTCTGAAAAGTCATCATTAAACTACTTTTAAAGATGACTATTTACAAGCACATACACACACACACACACTCAAAAGAAAACAGCAAAAATGCCCTACTTATTCCATTGATAAAAAGCGAATAAGTAGTTGGAAGTAAGTATTATGTGAGAGGCGAAATCTAGGTGTTAGTGGAGTATAGATGTGAAAAGCATCACTTTTGTCCAGCAGAGATATAACACCAAAATCTTCAGTGCATGTATTCAATGGATTATCAAGATGTCTTTCGGCTGCTTATGTATCCATGTGTAATAAAATAGTCAAGCATGATGACACTAGGCGGATTTTTGTCATGCAACAAACGCTCACTGTTATTTCTACCGTTATCATAAACCAACATGCATACAACAGGACAAAACTGGTTAGTATTCATAAATAAAACATGAAAAATACATGTTTTTTCTATATACAAAAGGGAGATTTATATGGCTCTTCTACTCTAAGAGGGATAGCCAAGTTTTCATACCATATTATCATCCATTTTTGTATGTCTCGGGAATTTAATAATAGATAGAAGGTATTTTGCCCAGAAGTGGACACCTTTTCGTATGCGAATAAGTTTGCGTAACTCGGACGCAAAGAATACGGACGATGTTAAACAAACTAGAAAACCTAGATCTATGTGAAAATAAAACAAAGAAAAAGTAGAGAAATTCAGTAATTTTTAAAGGTTATGAGCAAACTAGCAGAACAAAATAAGTGATTGTAACTTACTGTATAAAATTTGTGTACTAACGCTACTAATACTATAGTGGGAATTGTTGATCAGAATGAATATAAGTGGTATATATTGAGAGGGCGGGCGGCAGAAATCATAGGGAATTACCAGCAATTGTTAAAGATTCTGCCCAGAGAAACGCAAGAGACAATGCAGGCGTATTAAGAGCAAATCAAGATAGAACCAGAAGAGGAAATGAAGCACATCATACAAATGACTGTCTTAGTGGAAGATTAACAATAATTGATGACTACTGTACAAGATGTCAATAATAAACATTCCTTCCTTCGTCTCCGTCTTGTCGTTTTCTATACTACTACCATAGCTTTTAATGAAACCTCTAATCCAAGTGAAAATGACGCCATACAACTGCTCAAACTAACGACAGGACTATCTATATGAAACAATCCAGTTTTATTGGTGTAAATCACTCCCAGTGTATGTGAATATCTACTAGGCTATAAGAAATACTTGTTACATGAGGGTCAATGTTAACACAAGCAGAATTAGTTGGAATAGGATAAAAATACCGGAACCTTCCACTTGAAAGTAGAATGCTTAAGCTAACGAGCTAAATCTTCACTTAATACGGTTTAGTCGATCATATGGAGCAATCTGTAAGCAAACAGTTAGAATAGTGTCAAAGAAAAGTATGCAGCCATTAAGGCTTGGGTCATGTAAACAGAATATGAATTATTGTAGAATTTACAGCTATTTGTTGTAAAATTATTTACAAACAGTATATACATTCTCTGAGTCAAGTTTTTTCTGCACATGATGAAAGAAAACCCATCCAACAGTTTTGTAATTCAGCTCAAAGACCTCACCAACAGAAAAATTTACAAGCAGCATTCATCGTGGACTGACATCATTTAGGGGACCATTGGGATTCTGGGAGCACTGGACAGCTGTTTCGTCCTAGTATGGGACTCCTCAACAGTACGCACCCACGACTCGGCTAGGGATCGAACTCAGGACCTTCAGGTTTCACGGTGAACGCGTTGACCATTCAGCCACTGGGTCGGTTTCTAGTGGTTCACAATTTCCAACTCCTGTCAATTCATGACCTAGCCCGACTATCACTCAAGGTCTTCAGCTAGCATCCGCTCCGCTTCCGACTGGTTGACCTCACAGGTCACGGCTTCTCATTAGAGCTTCCTGATATCCCTCTGGAAGCAAGTCACTAGTGAGCACCATGCAGTAATGTGTTTTTGAGATGAAGATCCTGAGTCCGATCCCTAGCCGGGTCGTGGGTGCGTACTGCTGAGGAGTGCCATACTAGGACGAAACAGCTGTCCAGTGCTCCCAGATTTTCAATGGTTCCCCAATTGATGTCAGTCCATGATGAATACTACTTCTAAATTAAAAATCCTCATTCATCTCAAAAATAGAAAAATTTATACTTCATACCACAAGAAAACCCACAATTAATGAGTCAGTCAAAATTGTGTCCATTTTGTCGATTTTACTGCCTGAGATAACTGTGGTTTTGGCAGACAGGGTGATGATTGAGGGTGAAATGAAAATTTGAGAATTCCAACCAGTATGAGTACCATCAAGTGATTGTCACGTGTCACAAACCCACATGGTAGTCAGCCAAAATTCTTGATATGACTGAAGTGAAATAAAAATCTGGTCAGCATTCGGGGTACTCGTAGGTCAATTGGCTCGAATCCTGCCGAGACGCACATTTTCATTTCAACTTGAATCAACAACCCAGTGCGAAATACTTCATTCATTTTTCGCAACCCACGGATTTCTATTACTTATGATCTTTAAAATCATACACATACAATAGTGAACCGGTGTTTCGTTCTCCTTTCGGAATCATTAGTAGGGAAAACAGTGAGGCGGTTACACAATCAAATTGAAACCAATCTCCACTTAATTATTTTCTCTCTTTCTCTCTTACCTTTTCCTTTCTTTTTTCTGATTAATTTAATCATAATTTCACTTCAGTTAATTTATAACCATTACTAAATCTGGTAGCATGAACTCAGGATCTCCTTTGATTTATTTATCTTACAACAGAAAAACGTTAGGACGTCAAAATGACACTCACACCAGGTTTACGGAGTCAAATAAGCTGCTGAAAACCTGGTACACAAAATATCTCTGGTAATCAAGAAACAAATAATGTGAATACTTCAAGTAGTAGTTCAGTGGAGAGAATTGAATTAATCGAGATCAGTGTAAGAATACTTATCCACAAGAAGAGCTGTATTATTATTATTTGTCCCTTGGGTTCCTAATAGAACATAGGGATTCAGTAGCACGTGGTCACTTCACTCTGTTCTCTGCAGTCTTTTCAACCTGACTCCACGACTGTCCACAAGCTTTCATTTCTTCCTCACACCATCTCATCTATGTCACCCTCGGACGCCCAACTCATCGTTTCCCATTTGGGTTCCGCTCGGGGGCTTGGCACGTGATGTCCACGATCAGTCTTTTCAGTGTATGCCGAATCCAATCCATCTCCAATTTATTCTGCATATTTGTTGGCCGACGGGTTGTTGGTTGGTTCGTTGTCAGCCAGCCAGAGTTCCTAGTTATTTATTTTTATTATTCTGGCCATCCGGTCTGATCTTCAGTATCGAGTGAGCGTAGAGGGCAGCTGTTGATGAATGTCTGCAGTTTTTGTTGGAAATGCCTTTCGTAATGCGCCAAGTCTCAACCATCATATGGAAGCACTGGCTTGACTGGCATTAGTGTTGAAAATCCGGATCTTGTTCTACATGCTGAGTGGAGTGGAGTAGATCTCCACACTGGTTTCAGGTTAATGAAAGCCTGTCTTGCTGTCCTTCCGATCCTGGCTTTGATTTCCTCATCTGTGCCATCACCTGTAGTTGAAACGATGCTGCCTAGGTAGGTGAAAGAGGCTACTTCCTTTAGGTTTCTCTCGTTCATGGTGGTTGATGCTTGTTGTTGGTTGGGTAGGTTGGGAATAAATCAACAATTAAGTACTTCCTGACACTGATTAGTAGGGTATATACACAACCTCAAGGAAACGTATATGGACCTTGAATACTTTGACGATGAGTTATTCTGAATACGAATGACCGCAAAATACAGATAAATAAATCAGAGATCCATTATGTTTTCCCACTATAAGTTAAAAGAGTGGAATAATAATAATAATATACACTTTAGGGTGGTGGAGCATGTACCAAAATGGCTACAATAAAGCACTTGCATTAACAAACATCGATAAGCGCAGATGGCAGACAACCATCATTCATCATCTATTCCCAAACATATCATTGATGAAGGTCGCATAGATGATAGTAAAACAGCCTTTACAATATTATAGAGAAGTTGTCAAGGATGTATACTAAGATTTGTTGGAGCGGTAGTCATACACAAATTTAAGCCCTTCTTGTGTGTTCAAAAACAGTTTGTTCTTACACGAAACCTACCCTCGTCATGCTTATCTTATCCTAATACCAAAGTTGGCTTTCTTATTATTGCATCCCTTTTTGTCATATTTATGCTTTTTTATTTATCTTTATTGTTCATATAAAATGCTTTAGTAGTAATAACAACGACAACAATAGAAAACTATAGACCATTGGCTTCCAGCCGATTGACTAAACGACAACGTGTTCGCCATAAGACCGGATGGTCTTGAGTTCGACACCTCTTGAGATGTCATGGGTATGGACTGCTGAGAAGTCATATACTCCAACAAAACATTGCTCCCAAGTTTTCAACGGTTCTCTAACTGGCGTCAGTCCGTGGTGGATAGTCATATTTGAGGTAGACCCATCGATCTGCATCCATGGTAGACTTATGACATCAGATATATGTTCTTATAAAAAAAGAGTCAGAAATATTTTATTTATCAACTCGAGTATCATCAATAGTAGTTAATAATGATTAACAACTTAAAAAACAACAACAGTTATTTAATGTCCAAATATGAAGTTGTAGCCTCTGAGATGAACCGTGTTGTATACAACTGTAGTAAAATGCTAGTTAAGAAAAAATACTTTATTGTTCAACATGCCTTTTCTAAACTTCACAAAAGGTTCAAACTAATAGTCACTATGACTAAATTTATCATCATCATGTTTTTAACGGTTTATCCTACTGTGTCAGACTGCTAGGAACTCGTTTTTTCTTCACATTTAAGCTAACCCAGTTAACAACAGTAACACTATCAATTTTATCATTTTGACTATTTGAGGGAGATAGCTATGATTTGTTAGACTTATATTGATACTGGGTGGCGATTGAAAATGAAATGAAAATTTGAACAGTGGTGGGATTCGAACCAGTAATAACCGGTCCGGTGATCTACCGATTGAACTACGATACCAATCAATTTTGACATTTTTGAGTGATATTCGATGAAAAATCAAGGGAAGTTAATTATTCAGTAAAACAGAAGTCACAGTTAATTGATTACTTAGCATTAGAACTGCATAATTGACACTCACCTTTCAATGTTAATGATTCAGTTTGAAAGACAGTTTGTAATGGTGGGAAATAGATTACTAGTAATTGACCAAATAATGATAAACCAACAGCTAGTACAAACATACGATTTGTGAAAAAACCCAATGTGAAAATTGATTTACTCTAGAAAGAAAATGAAGAATAAATGACAACGCTAAGGGAAACAAATTAAGAATTGAAAACTTTACATACTGACACATTTAGTATGCATACACTGCAGTAGATAGTTACATATACTAAACATTCATATAACAGATGGCCAACACCTTCAATAACTGACATACAGGTAAGACCTGGCCAACAAATGGACTTCGTAGCTAAGTTGGTTAAGCACTTCCCAGTAATCCGAACACGGCTGGGAACCAGGTTTTTACTTTACGTTTGTTTAGTCGTCGCCCCGTATGACACGGGGCCTCCAACTAAGCAGACACCACGGCTATCTTAGATACTCTCACCTCAAAAGTAACTTGGATACTCATCCGATCTGGGACTCCCTATGCCTTATCTCTAGTGTTACTACTGCAGACCACCAAAGTGAAATAAAACAGCTATTCAGTGCTGCCACGTATTCAATGGTTCTCCAGTTGATGTTCAATGTGTGATGAATGCTACCTCAAACAATAGTAATGTTGTATGACTGAAAAACTGTGTCCAGGAGTTCTTAATCAAACTCATTCTAGCCTGTTGAAATTCTTAAATGCACAACACCGAACACTGAGTTGTTGCTCATTGGCATAGGAAGTCAGGCGTTCGAATACCGCTCCACCCAACCAAGTAGTATCCTTAGCCCCCATACGACAGGTGTGGCTAATTGCCTACTGCACGGATGTGTACAAGGTAGCTGATTGGGTTTCGATTTTTTTCGACAACACCGAATTCAATGGGTTAAAATGTTAAATGCTTCGTTTAAACAACTATAATGTTATGATCTTTCTCGATCAACAAATAGAGTCATTGATAGTAGTGATGAACACAGCATAGCATCGGTTAAGAAGAATGCAACTCACTAACCATATGCAGGTTTGCGTATTCACATCTACATAGCGAGTCTACGTTGCAACATCTGATAATACCGATATTTTAATCACGCACCGTGTTTCAGTTGTCTATCTCATGGAGACAGATTTGCATATCTTGAGTGTTTCTGTTCTCACTATAGAACCAATCCATCATATACAAATAAGTTAGTTGATTAGACAGGGGCATCGGCTTAAAGAAATTTGGTGATTATTTCTTCTTTCTGAACTGATAATTTCATTATTGTTAGAGTTTTATCAGCGATATACCAACACATTTCTAATGACACTTATAAAGATGATTTATAGCCGAGAGAATCACAGTTAAAACGATATTTTAAATTGCAAACAATAAAACTCCTTTAACAGTCCAAAAATGCTCCAGAATTAGTGAGCATATCAATTACAGATGTGAACTACCGTCCTGGCCATGGCAGTAGCTCGCTCACACAAATGCACACAACATGCAGGGAAAATAACTTAGTACACACACCTCTGTGTTATTTACCGTAACGATTATGCAACATACACATACACACATACAAGTACATGAGAATAAAGAGTAAAGCTAACCTGTGATCGAAAACTTAATGCATTGAACATATCAAAAAGTACAAAACATGTAAAAGTCATGGTTGTATCATGTGGTGTCACTTTGCCATCAGATAATCCCTATAGAATATCCATAATGTACCAGCAACAATGAGGGAAGAAGCTGTTAACACATTGAACATTAAACGACCATCCAAAATCGAATCTTTAGCTCGTCTAGGCGGTTGTCTGACCACCTGTTCCCAGGAAAGAAAACATATGAAAAAGTGAAGCATATGACCAACATATACAAAGATTGAGAAGTAATGAAAGTAATGTTGATTTTTAAAAGACACAATGTTAATCAAGAGAATATGGAATGTGCTTGTTAATGTTCGATTTTCGAAGTTTGGTCTCTGCTTTCTAACTGCTTATCAATCAAACCGACGTACGACTTCAAAGAGGTTCTTATGAATCACTGACTATTCAGAACTACGTAGTCATTTAAAACGATAGATAATCAAACTAAATTATAATAGGAACGGGCCTCTTAGCATAAAACCATTTCAGTGTTACATAAGAAATTGCTATAACTGTAACTTCGGCCAACTTTTGATTGGTTAACAGCAGGAAACGTGAATCGACAGTATTCCAGCTACGACGCCTAAATATTCTCAGATCAAGCAGCTGTGTTGCAGTCAGGTGATTGCTACATCTACAGGAAATTTGTAAACATAAAATAAACGAAACATCAGCTCAGATAATAACTAAATGTGAAGATCTTCATTATGAGCTAGGGAGCTGAGGGTACACAAGAAGATTTGCTAGTGAGATTCATCTACTTCTGTGTGCTCATTGTTTTTTGTTTAGTGTGACGATGACGGAAGAGTAGAACGTAGATGGATTACATAGATACCATTATCATCATATTACTCATTGAATGGCTGAAATTATTGTTTTATTTGAAATTTTCCAAATGACTGACGCTGCCTCCTGACAAGATAAAGGTGTTGTTGTATCATAATTCGCGGGAGGGGCGTGTGAGGAGCTTTCTGACGAACTCCGAGGTGGTTATGAAGCTTGTGCGTAGAAGATAAGCAGGGTAGTGTTGGGAACTCTGGTGAGAGGCATGGAAAAGACAGTATACTACATTGTTGAGGAGACCAATAGAATATTGTTGAGTCACAGCTGGTCATACAGTTCAGTAGCCCAGAAAACAGATAGAAAGTCACGAAAAGTGTGAACTTCAATACTGATAACTATCTGCTTGTATTAGCAAAGACGCTGATAAGTCTTTTATACCGAGCTCTGTCCACCTTGGATAAAAAGTGTAGAGCACAGTTACTAGCACCTTAATTTATGGAAAGTATCTCTACAGTCACGACACAACAGCTTGAAGATAAAGGACAACCGGCACAAATAAGTAACTTAGCTAAATTGATCGGGCAGGAAATGAGTCTAATAGCGGCAATACCTTATTGGAAAGCAAGGCGAAATGCAACAGCAGACGGTGGGCATTTCGATAAAACTCAACAAAGATGGTACATATTTCGTTTTTAGGAGAACGTGGCATTGAGAAAGATATTGGCCAGTGAAACAATGATGCAAGCATTTTAGGCGATACACTGTGCATCATTTCTTTCCAATCATATGCATATTCGACCATGTGCGAGGGTAGTGAAAACCAATTGGTTAAGATTTTAGGGGTTTAAGACTACCGTGAAAATCAGCGGTTGCAAAATACACTAACTGTTCATTGCAGTCATGAGACTGGTGAGAATCAACAGGAAATTGCAATGAACATTGATAAAATACCATAAACTTGCAGTGAACGTAGTTTATGCTGATATTATTTATCAGGACGTGAATTTTGAGATAATCTATCTTCCGGTTTGTGCCTGCCCTCACCCTCGGTGGTGAGACGTTGGAAGTAGTCGAGAAGTCCGTGTATCTGGGTAGTTTATGTGAGTGTTGGTGAGGGTGTGAGTGATGAAATTTCTAACCACATATTGAAAGCCAAAGTGACATACGTCAATCTGGGGCACCTTAAGCGCTGTTATGACATTAGTGTGGCCGTGAAAGGTCAGGTTTACAACGCTTGGATGCAAGCAGTTCTGGTCTACGTCTGTGAAACCTGGTCTCTCCAAGCTGAGGATGTGCGACGACTCTGTGTTCGAATATGGTTGTCTCCGTAGGATTGCTCGTATCCGATGACAACACTATATAAGTAATTCTGAGGTACGATAGCGTGTGTTTGGGCATGATGGAGATCGTCATTCAATAGGTGAAATCATCTGGAAACACCGGCTTCGGTAGCTTGGACATGTGTTACACATGTTGTCCTGACGGCTGTTTATTAGCCCTACGACTAGATGGAGGAAGCGAATGGGTGGTCAGTGTATGACGTGGCGTCTTCCGATGAAGGATAGTTGTATAGAGTTCGCATCTGTTGGTACATCACGACTCCCTTGGTGGGATCCGATAAACGACACAACTAAGTAGCTTGAGACGTTATCAAATATGACTCGGAACCGAAACCAGTGGCGGTCATGCTGTAGCTTCCTTCTATCTTCTACTGCTGAAAAGTAATGAATGTTTTGAATGCCACTCTAATCATCTCATTTTCGTTGGGATGAATGTCTGTAGTTTGTTGGAAATCTCTTTGGTAACGCGCCAAGTCTCTGAGCATCACAGAAGCACTGACTTGACGTTGGTGTTGAAAATCGGGATCTTGTTTCACGCTTTATGCTGAGTGCAGAAGATCCCCACACTGGTTTCAGGCTAATGAACGCCTGTCTTGCTTTCCCGATCCTGACTTTGACGTCCTCGTCTGTGCCGCCACCTGTAGTTGAGACGATGCTGCCTAGAAAGGTGAAAGAGGCTACAGAAGTTTTACCACAATTGAACGAATGATTTCTGCCAAAATCTTCTTCTACTTTTAAGGTGTTCACCATGATAGATTGGATGCAATGTCGGCCAATTAACGACACTGTAAAACGGTTACAGCCTAATTCAGCAGTAGCAACAATTCTCATGAAATATGAGAAACAGCTGTCCATTGCTCCTCTCATTTACAAAGTTTATATATATATATATATATATATATATATATATATATATATATATATATATATATATATATATATATCAACTCAGTACAGAAAATGATTTTATTAACCCTCATAAGGATTTAGCATTAAACAAATAAGATCTAAAATCTTAGATACCTCAAATTTTTTTTCCACTAAACAACTTACATAAGGATCTGGTGGTTCTACGCCCAAACTTTGGGCAGGAGGTCCATCCATAAGTATATTGATAAATAGAATTTGCATAGCATTCAGAGGAGTTGGTAATGAAAATAATGTGGATAGTGCAATTAACGATAATGCAGCTATAGAACTGAAAAGAGAAAGATGATAAAAATGATGCATTCATAATTAGTCTGAGGTGTGTAGGGTCCTTGAGACAATAAGAATCAATAGTTAGGGATTTTTTATTATATGGATAAGGATCGGTTATATTGGCGGAGATTTACATACTCCTAATCAACTTCAAAACTTCAAATATGTTCACTAGTTTTCACTTAATTATTCTCACTTAACTCTCATACACCTTTATCTACTCTTGAATATCATTCCTTTTTCTATTCACTCCCTATTTGTGTGCTGCTGTAAAATGTAACAACTTGAAGTGATATAGTTTTCTGCAATGTTTTACATTGAGTTATCTGTCTTCTTTTCAAATAATCATACTGTACAGAGAAAATTATGGTTACAGTTTCCACTACTGGGGTAATGTTGTAGACATTTTTACAACTAAATTAAATCCATATTCATTGAGTAATTTCAAGAGCATAATGGGCAGGTAGAAAAGCAATGATCAAGTTAACTTGTTGATAATGGAATCTAGTTCATGAACTGTTTAGAGGAGAATACAACAAAAATGCTAGTTCATTGGGTAAATATAATATTGGAGTAAATAATTAACCTCATATACTGCTTTTAGAGAATTTGTCAACTCCACTTCATGAAAAGGTTCGCTTTGAAGAGATATATCCTTTTCTCTTTGTATAAAGGAGATGAGGACAATAAAGTCATTTCACTCCAAGGGATCATAAACTATTTTTATTGATATGAACATAATACACTAAGACGTCAATGTATGAAACAGATACAATGAACTAAATTTTATGTGAATGAAATGTAATTTAAATGAAGTTCATTAATAGCGTGTTTAGAGTACAGGATAAGAAAACGTGAACTTCTGTAGCTAGCTACCATGCAGAAAAACGGTGTATACGTGTCAACGAGAAGGTGAAACCAATAATAGGAAAATGAATAAAATACAAAGTAGGAAAGTGAAATTCACTTCAATACAGTAAAGTATTACATGTTGTTTCATATGCATTACTAGTGAGTACAGAAATATACTATGGAAACAAGTAGGACAAAAAAGTAAACTACTCATTTGAGAAATATCTCAATATTTACTTGCTTTAATCATTGCTCGAGTTTTGTATATATATATATACACACACACACACACACACACACAGATAGTAGGAGAATATCGAAACAATAGGTACAGCAATCATTGTTTCAAGCGTAAAACAACCATGGTTGTGTAAAATAAACAGAAACCGAATAAAACAACAACTGAACATTGATAAGTAACCTTGTTATTGCTGGTTACAATTCTGATAGTCCGCCTAAAACAACAAAACAAGTTTGCTCTCCGTGTAACCTACTGGACACAGTTCGATGAGACAAACTAGTCCAATGATAAGATAAAGTATGTAAGTTTGAAATTAAAATAAAGTGAGGTCCCTTGCATATCACTGTGAAGTGATAACTGTGACAATTTCATAATTGTGATCAGTCTTATCACATGTATAAACAGTATAGACGAGAGAGAGTAAACTGTGAGTTCAATCTGAGTTGTATTTAGTTCACTTACTTGAGGAGTTGTGTCAACCTGAACGGATCGGTTACTGATGAAATCTCAGTTGGGATAGAGAAGGCCCATTTGGCACCTGTCGTCAACTTGCATCATCTATGGCGCCGATTGGCAAGATATACGACTACCTATTGAAGGATGAGTATACTGCACTATTGTCCGTACTGTCCTGTTATATGATTGTGAAAAATGCCCGTTAAAAGTAGATCATCATGATGGTCATCATCAAAATCAACATTAATGCGTAATGGTCCAAGTTGCCACATCTCATACCAGTACACCAAGTAATAAGGCAATAAAATGAAAGATGAAGAGCGAAAGAAAAATCAGCCAAAAGAAGTCGAAAGTAGTAAGAAGAGAGGAAAGAAGAATGAGAAGATAATGAGATCAAGCATAGCGGTTAAGATGAAGATAATGTGTGTACACATCTGCGACACTGAGATCGGTTCCGAGCCATATCAACTAAAATTCCCAACCACTGGTGGTTTCTACTGTCCCCCAGATCCAAAACCGGCTAGTCTGCATCGCTCCACATGGCTCAAACCAACAGTCAACGACTTCATGCATTGATGCCATGTTTTAGTCTGGCCACCTTGAGCCTTTTTCCAGCCTGAACCTACTTCAACCAACATTGTGCTACAAGGCAGGTGGTCACTACGCATACGTAACACGTGTCCCACCCATCTCAATCGATGAAGGTTCACAATCGCAGCAATTGTCTTACCTTTCCGGCCTAAAATTCTACACCTAACTTCTGTGTTACTCACGTGGTGACACCACAAAATATGGCCTATGCCACGAAGACAACGGAGGTCAAACACCTGAAGCCTTCCATGTATTCTACCTTTAATACCCATGTTTCACAGAAGATATGAAGAGACTGCATGTTTTGACCATAAGTGTCTCCGTAGCATTGCATGCATTTGGTGGAATCACCACATGAGCAGTGGAGAGGTTAGGAGAAAGGCACTAAACTGAGGTGATTTGGACGTGTTGTAAATGTCGAGTCACTGATTACTTTGATGTGTAATGCTAGAAGTTGGATCAGATTGGAAGAGGGTTCAGGGTGGTCAGACCAAGAAGTGGCACCAGTCCATGAAGTCCCAAACTGTTGGTCTGAGCGGTGTGCTGAGATGCACACGACACGAAATGAATTAATGGTTGAGAACTCTTGGTGACACGGCTAGAAATCACTCACAATGGCCCAGATGGATTCACCCATCGACTTCTTCAAAAGCTTAAATATTTGCACTAACCTTTATCTTCAAATTGTTTATTCTCTTACACAACTTTGTCTACTTTGATATCACTCTTATTCTATCCACCCGTTCTTTGTGCGCTACTGTGAAGTGCGGTAACTTGAGCCGATGCACCTGTGTGCGAGATTCTGTGTTTACCAGGTGCAATGAAATCGGTTAACCCTTTCGTCAACTACATTTATTACTGTTAAGTGAAAATATAACTAACTCCAAATGTAACTTATGAACAGTGATTATGAGACTGCGAAGAAGCATTTTTAATAATTCTAAGATGACAAGACAACGCTCAAATAGCATACAGTAAGGAAACAATGACTGAATAGTTAAGAGTAATCCCTTCCGCTGTTGTTTTTTAAGGGATTTATGAAGAAACTGTACTCCACAGACACGTGAATATTTCCGAATTAGTCACAGAACTGATCGAATGACATTAAAAATACGGATGCCTGAAGTTACAACGAAAACCTGGGTTACGGTAGGATCCGAACCAGTGGTCTGGTTATCATGACCATGACTGGTAAATGACTAATAATTCTTTCATTATCACGCTGGCTACCCAGTCAGTTCCTCTCGTTTCAATCTAAATAGAAGTTAATTAGACGACAGGGGTAAAACCATGGATTGTCGATGAGATCATCTGCTCTACCAGTTAGGATGGCCATTTACAAATATAGTAAAATTAAACAAATGGTTGTTCAATGGAAATTTATTAACCAGGAATTAAGAAATCTCAGTATGTGTACACACACTTACGTGCTCAATTGAAATCCTATGAAGTTTTTTATATTATGAAACAATGCTTTGCCCTCTTCCATAGCAGCTAGAATTGTTGAAAAATTGTCATCCAATAAGACAATATCTGAGGCTTCACGACACACATCTGTTCCAGTACGACCCATTGCAATGCCAATATCAGATGATTTTAATGCGATAGCATCATTTACACCATCGCCAGTCATTGCGACAACTAAATCACATTGTTGCAGCGCCTGAATGGAAAAAGAAAGTCCATTTTATATATATATATATATATATATATATATATATATATAATTATACCAGCACCACTTTGTTTAGTAGTTCTAAAACCATGCACCACAAACCCTGAGTAGTAAGTATGCTGAAGGTGGATGTTTCCTAAAGTCAGCCAATATATTCAGAGTCGTTGATTTTATTGCCTTTTCTTACTCAATCTTCTGAATAATTCTAAGTAATCGATACCGACTAAGTAAACTCAATGTCTTTCCCATTGGTTTCACAACTGACCATTTTTGGCAATCAATGTAAAAATTTTCAATTAACTTGAGTATTCATGCTGATCTCATTCCTCATCATGCCAGGCACCAGTTGAGATACGTTTTCACGCATTGACCATTTTGACTGAAGCTGGTGAGATATGGTGACTTATTAAGACTCAATTAGAAATCACTACATCTCTTTAATGCCGTCCACACAGCCCATTGCATACAACACCAAGATGCGTCAAGAGGAGCATTTATGCAAAACTTCGACAACTGTCTAGCTAGCTAGCCCCTGGTTGCATTCCTTATAATCCCATTGATGGAATTAATGGTGCACAAACATCCTGGTTACTTTCACAGCTCATATAAGTATAAAGATATAATTACTCGAACTAGTATGTGATCAGAGTATGCGCGAGTGCATCGAAAAAAATTAGCAATCTACTGGAAGGGTGCGGATGGTTGACACTTCCCGGTTGGCCATACCGTGGAAGGCTATTTCTTCCTAAGGTACCTGAAAGGAGGAAAGATTTGTGTGACCACAGAGTCAATGGGTAATCTGCCTGAGCCTATCACACAAAGCCTTATGAGGAGTGTTAGTGTGAGATTTGATTATTTTAACGCCAGGATAAGGAAACCTATAAAGCCGGTACTGGAAGACCGAGGAGCAGGGAGAACGGAGCTATTTTGCTGCCCAATTTTTTCTAACCCTCCCTTCCCATAAGAAAGCTAGTATCAACGTACCACTGCTGGTTATCTATCCAGCCAGCAGTACTACTTGGCCTTGAGACCCTCATCACAGCGTAGCAATTTACACTACAACGATGACTGCTTTTCGTTTTACCACTATCCGACAGACCTTTCTGGCATTGTAGGACCTCGAATGAACAAGCTTTCCAGTCAGTGTAGCTGATTGGGTCATTGTGACAAATAAACCCATCTACTACGTCAAGGTAGCAGCCATCGGACGGGTTAGCAATTTACTACTTCTAACAGTCCGTAGTACGTAAATAACTTGTGTATCTAATACTGGATCTATGCTACAGATCTGAAAGTCGGATAGTGTATCCCAGTACAATCATAGTTCTACTATGTAATAGCATCAATGCTTTCGCTTCAGTTGTTTTGAAGTGCACACCTTTAAGCATCGAAAAAAGGATATACCTTTTAGAGGACACTAAATAGCGCCGAGGGTACAATTTCATTCACAATATTTTGTCAAAAAAAATTAGTTCCCTGAATACAATTTAACAAAATTACGCCTATTTATAGCTTTGTCAGATGTTCTACCGATTAACTATGATGGCAACAAGAAGAAGAGTGAATTAATTCTCCTGATGACCAAGGGTTTTGAACTACTTCGTAGTAAACTTAGCAGACGTGTATGATCGATGAAGTACTTTTAATGTAGATTAGGCATATACGTCTAAAAGTGGGTGTCGATTGAAGGTGAAATGAAAATTTGGACCAAAGTGAAATTCGAACCAACGACCACCGGGTTTCCGGCCCGGTTCTCTACCAACTGAGCTACAAAGCCCAACTTTTGACCAGATTTTTACTTCACTTCAATCATCAAGGATTTTGCCCAACTACCATAAGAATTCGTGATGCGTTACTACTGCTTGAAAATACTCATACTGGCCGCCCAGTCAGGACCTCTCGCCGTAAGCAAAACCTAACTGAAATGGAGAGAGAGAGAGAGAGAGAGTATCATTTTGACTATCTGAGATAGCCGTGGTTTGGCAGATTATTATTGATACTCGGTGATGATCGAAGGTGAAATGAAAATTCGGACCGTGGCGGTATTCTAACCAGTGAGCACTGGGTTTCCAGGTCTCCATATTGAAAATAGAGCCTATAAAGAGTGATCTTTGAACAAAAACATATAAACATAACTTTTTTCTGCTTTTCCAAACTCAGTCAGGGTTGTTTTCATGGGCGTAGGGAAACGAAAATATCCACTTTGAGTAACTAACTGATCTGAAACTTGACACTAAACCGGTGAGATTATACTTATCAGTTCAAAAGAAATTTCCACATCTTCAATAATGTTATCTGCTACTATCGAATTCACTTTAGTTAGGCTGTTTTCCAGTAAATGAAAGAGATGTAATTAATCTGATAACACACCACCATTCTCATAGTTGATTCACAAAGACTCAAGATAACAAATTGATGGGTGGCATAAACTGCGCAGTTAACTATTATTGATGAACAGTGGCTAATAGTGGAATCCAGGACGCACGCTTCGTACTATTTCGAACTTGTCAGCCGGAAGCACCTGCTTCCTAGGGAGCGATTTTGTTCCCGCTAGGACTCGAGATCGGAGCTGATCACTTCAAACACCAAAGCGTTATCCACTAGGCTACCCAGTCATAACAGCCATTTCTTATGTGACGGGCATAGTTTTTATTTTGTTACTTGTATTACCCCATCGTTGAATGGACCGAATTGATCGGTTTCTATTAGCATATGGGCTCCTGAGAGGATGTCTCGATATTGCCTGTGCTTCAATCTTATATTAATAATGCAGTTAACGTTCGAAGTGTTACTTCAGTACATTTCAATCAAACTAAAAAACAGGACAATGAATGGAACTAAACCTCAAGTGTACTGATTATACTATCACCTCAAATGAAGGCTATCACGTTCAAACAATGATGACCAAGCATTTTTTTTTTCTATCCTACCTGAAAGTTCCGGGTTAACTGAGATTGCTTTGCTGATTTCAGTAAACCTGTGACTTTTTTTTAGTGTTAAAATGACCCTCACCTACACTTAAACATATTGGAATCAGTTACTAAACAGCTGACTGATTGAATTTCCTTCAAAACTATAACTGCGAACTACCTTTTAGGCGAATTCATCGGTTTACGAAATAATTTCCAATATGCGGAACCAATAATATAAAAATCCTTCAACTTGCATTGTCAGTATGTATTACAATAGACTACCGGTGAACCCATTAGTCGAGATATGTTCTATAAATAACAAATTACACTCTAATCCATATCTTCGTGTTTCCTACTCCGAGACTGCTTTATTAAATACGTAGAACTCTTGAAAAGGAAGAATTTTTGCACAGTTTGTAGACAAGTAGCCTGAAATAGATATTCTTAAATTTTTTGAAACTTCAAAAACCTCACCTCTTGTTTACAATTACCAGTATTATCAGTAAAAAGATCCGTTTTAATCAAACACTATGTACATCGGCTCTCGTTTCATTTTCTCACACTACTTACCAACACACTTGCCCTCAACGATTTCTTAAACTTTTCAAAAGTTTTCATTCAGCAGCTGAAGATTACAGGACATTTTCTCTAGTTTTCATTTACTGAATTATACGTGATCATTGTTTATGCACTGTTGGCCTGATGGCTTTCGTAAGAACCCAAAACGAAAAGTGAGGTATTTCGCCTTCTATGATATTAGTCTAAATTCATGTACCCAACAAGTGTTGCTTGTTTGATTTGAACTATGGACAGCGAGGAGGTCAACGGAACCTGCTCCCGAATGTCAAATATACAGATATAGCTGAGGTAAATGGAGACTTCAGTGCCCAGTGATGAATATTGAGGGGAGCTTTATGGCAATTTTCTTAGTCTTGTTCCGATAACTATCCAACAAACAGTTTGTGGTGAGGATGTATCAAAATATTGGATCGTAAACTTGTCCTATCAGTACTAGTTTTGATATACTATAAAATATTTGCACCTAATGTTGTAGACGTTCTAATGCTCTGTCAACCAGCCAAGCTTTAGGTTCTGTGTCTACAGTTTTTGACGCCAATCAGTGTAGTTTCAATTCCTCGTAACATACAGTCGTACGATATTTTCACAAACCAATAAGTAATCACCCTCCGAAATCCTGGTAACATTTTCTCTGTGTGGTCAACATGGCTCATTTCATTAATCGACAGTCAGTCTTATATCACGTTGAATCAAATGTATGTGACAAGAATGTAAACTGAGAATGACTAAAGGAAGTGAGCAATAAATGTTAATTTCATTATTTAGGTATAGCCTTGAGTAAAAGCTGGTAAACCACTACAGTATCCAGACCTGAAGTGTTCCCTCGTACTCTCAAAGTGACGCATAAGCTAGTTTCACCAGTATATGGAAAATACAAAGAGTCAGGATGTCGATTTATATAGCTTCGAGGCTGTAGCATATAGTTTGCACACGATTCGGTGATGTTTTGCACATATTGGATAACTTTTCACCATATTTGAAATAGTGAGTTTAAGTATTAATTACTGGCAAAATGTTCCAACACTGAAGACTAAACGCTAAAAATATGGAATATTTAAAATGAATTATAAATTATTAATTCTGTATACATGAAACAATCAAAATACTACAAGATTATAACGATAATAGAAGTGTTAGTTAATAAAATCAGTGGCATACCTTGACAATTTTACATTTATGCTTAGGTCCAGACCGATAAAACACAGTGACATTGCGTACAATTGACATCAATCTGTCAATACTTAATTGTTCCACTTCTTCACCACTGAGACATAAATCACCAGGCCGATAAAGTGATAAACGAGAGCCTATACTCAAATATATATACATATATATATATATATCAGAAAAGATTAGCTGATAAATGATGCTGATAACAAACAAAAAAACAACATATGTATACATCACATAATCAACAATGAAAAAAAGACTGGAGAACACGCTTTATAGTCGCCAATAAGTTGTACAATCGCATTTACATATATAAGAAATGTAAACATCCAGTGGCGAAACATGTCGATATGCTTTTTCAAAGAATAGTTCTCAGATAGTAGTAGCTTTATGGTGAACATATGAACGAAGAATAAACTGTAATTCCTAATCACCTCCATGTGGATGTATCAATTCACCTGATCCTGTAGAACTACATAGACAGATGAATTGTTCAACATCTGTGTCAACACCTTCCAGCATAGCTCAATAAAGGTCAATGGAAACTGATTAATGACTCCATATTACACCATTTAGTTCAAAACGGGAATACAGTTCCAGAGGATTCATTTGCAGTGGTCCATAAGATACAACATAAAGTTCCAAAAAATAAGAAAAAAATTAGTTTGTATTACTGAGGCAATTTTGCCGTTTACCGTCCTCTTAAACCTACCAATTCTTAATTCTAAATAACCTTATAACTTTCATGTTGTTAAAACGTAGACTTGTTTTAGCTCTATTACAAACTTAGCATTCCCTTTCTCATTGACAACTATTAACTCGCCTTATTAAGGATGGGTACTGGTTAACAGTAGAAGCAGGATACGCGTTGCGTCCTATTTGAGACTTGTCAACCGGCCTAGTGGATAATACTGTGGCGTTTGAAGCGATCGATCCAGGGTCCGAGTCTTAGTGGGAACAACATTGCTCGCTGGGAACCAGATACATCCACCTGACAAGTCCCAAGTAGGACGAAGCGTACATCCTGGATTCCACTGCTGGCCATAATCCATCCTCAATATAAAATCGAAATGACAGGCAATACTAAGGCATCCGCTCAGGAGACCATATGCCAAGTAAGACCGATCAATTCGGTTCAATCAACGATGGGATAATACACGTAACAACATATTAATTCGCCTTGTCACGAATTCTTCGTTTCTTAGTTTGACGTTGTCAAATATTTTAATGTCCTTTATGTGAACATCATTCCTATACTATTTTCTTGGCTACAACCTATTAAGAATTATTGTTTCGCAAACCATTATTTGATCATTCAATGTGCGAATTAAATGTGCTTTAAAATGTGATTGTAAAGTTATGAAAATGACATCATCGAAAGCAAATATCTGAACTGAATTTTTCTCCTACAGGAAAATTTAAATATCAGATAAATAAACAAAATAGATATCCATCAAATGGTGGCCTGCTTAAACCTCGGGTTACCAAAAACTTTCAACTGAATATACACATCCCATCAAATTTTCCCCTTCAATTTGTTTAAATCTTTTAAATATACATTCTACATGTAACATATACTCTCGCACACTCTCAAAATACTTATAAACTGCCGTCTTCACACTAAACAACAAGACAAAGAAAAAACATTATACCCGTAACACATGGGATTATAAATGCACACAAATACACCACATTACTATTCCTTACATAAATATGTCAAATTGCAGATTTTACAACTGGCTGAATGAACCAGCACCACCAAAACTTCACACCAAACCAGATACTAATGTAATATCAGGTGCCTGCCTGTTTCACATTGTGCATTTTATTCCTCTTATTATTAACATTATTCAAATGTAATGATTATTTCCCTTCAAGGGAGTGAATTTGTTCAACTATTACATGCTGACAATTCCATACTTGTACTACACGTTTTGTTTGGAGTAAAGCTATTATTATGATTATTATTATTAGTTATTATTAACACAAAAAACCTATGAACAGAACTAGACATTAGGAAATGTACTGTGAGTATTGGTTCAAATTCCAAGAGTATATAACTAAAAGTTGAGAAGAGGAAATAAACGGAATGAAGAACAGTGGTTTGATACATTTAGCCCCCATGATAAATTTGAAGGAATCAAGGACGAAAACGTGCACACCACGAGCCTGAAGGTGCTGAGTTCAGTGGTCATCGGACTTGTGGGTGCGCACTGCTCAGAAGTTCCATACCAGGACAAAACAACTTCCAAAATTTTAATGTTTCTCCAACTGGTGTCAGTTGGTGAAAAAAATATCGCTTTGAAATCAATGAATCTCCCGTAAGCCTCCAAAGTGAAAAATAGAATTACTTTCAGAATGAATCCATTTTATTGTTTATTGATGCTTGTAATTTCCCGTCGCTACACTGAGTCGAGTCACTCGGTGTCTGTTGGCAGGTGGGCGGACGGACTCCTATGCGAATGCCTCGATCCTGCCCAGATATTCATTATATTGCAGTCTATTTGGTAGCTAGCAGTGGAATCCAGGACACGCGTCGGCTGTCGTGCCCCAGTTGCGTAGTCAGTAACGCTTTGGTATTTGAAGCTATGGATACAAGTCTCAGTGGGAACAACATCACTGACTGGGGTGTAGGTATATCCGCCTGACGAGTCACAAATGAAACGAAACGCATGTCCTAGATTCCATTGCTAGCCACCAAATAGAGTACAGTATGATGTATCCATTTTATGTCAAGATTTATCTTCAGCAGTAATACGGTCAAATAGTGAGTACAATTATTAGTAGTAATAATTACAACACATACTTTAATACATGTGTATGTACACGACTATGAGAAACAATTATGGTATGAGGAATCATTATACTATCCGGTAGCAGACGGCAAAGTTAGTGTGAAGGAATGTGAACCCATTGTCTGAAAGACAATGAGCTACATACTTTAAACATGTAGTGAGAGAAACAGCTCAAGGTCCAAGAATAATAAGTAAAACAATGAGTCCAGGAAATATGGGAGATAATAGCTAACGAAAATCTACATTTGTAAATTACAGCAATTAACGAATTGTAAGTGAAATGAGTTGTAAACACTTGTACGTTAAATGAGCACATGAATAATAATAATAATAATAATGGTAATAATAATAATAATAATAATAATAATAATAATAATAGTTATAACAATCTATAGGGGTTGATCTCTATTTATAGAACATAATATAACATGAAGATGATGCAATCAAAATTACGTACACCTACCAGAGTAAAGAAAGATTAATTACAGATGTGAAGGTAAATCGAAAAGTAAAATGAGTTCACTTAATTTTGCATAGGTCAGTTATATAACCCCAGTCATCATTTGTAATAACCTTGTTGTCACTTGTATTTTTGTAGTGACTGCTATATATGCGGACACTTGCGCAATAACCTTCAGATTCCACCCTTTGATGATCGCTCAGTTTTCTCGATAAATAAAAAGGGTTATATAACAGAAGGTGTCTTGTAACGTTCACAAATACATACAAAATACAAGGGTTTATATGCATACATTTACAATGGCCTTGGCTATTTTCTAGGCTGCACTGGGTGATGATTGAAGGTGAGATGGAAATCTGGACAGCAGTCGGATTCGAACCAGCAACCAACGGGTTTCTAGATTTAAATATCTTATTGGTTTTTGTTTTTACAACCAATCCGATATTTACACGTTCGTTCACGTGTTTTCTCCCAAAACTTCGGAACTTTGGTAATCTTATTCCACACTATAATAGTCAGAGACCATATAAAGCCATGAAATAGAAAAAGGGGATAAAGATACACAATATAACTACTGGGATGAAGATAAGGTGTGAATTTATTTGCTACTGTGATAGATTCTATGCATCACCACTTAAAGTCTCCATCTCATGGAAGTAAATCGATAAACCAATAGGCGCTTACATGATAGATACAGAAAGTCAGAAAATTAGTGGACTCTCGTCACTTCTTGTTTCACTCACTCTCATCTTTTACTCATGTGTGCAGAGAGGGGGGTTGAACTGATTTGGTACGCGTAACCCACGCCACAGCTGCCCCAGTCAACAGAAGCTAATCAAAAAATTGTCAAGTGTAACATCTTTACTTTAGACTCTATGCCAAACTTCTACATGACTGTCATATTGCAGCTTACTTCCTATGGTTAACTTTATAATATTTGATGATCAAGGGAGAGTTGACCTGACTGACAGGCCGCACAGATGAGGACGTCAAAGCTAGGATAGAAAAGACAGCAAGGCAGGTCTTCCTCTAACCTGAAATCAGTGTGGAGATCTACTGCACTGCACTGCACTTAGCATAAAGCGTGAACAAGATCCGGATTTTCAACATCAACGAGATGGATTGGATGGGGCATACACTAAGACCATTCGAGGACATCATGCGCCAGGCACTCGAGTGGAACCCAGATGGGAAACGACGAGTTGGTTGTCTGAGGGTGACATGGAGATCGTGTGAGGAAGAAATGAAAGCTTGTGGGCAGTCGCGGAGCCAGGTCCAAAAGACTACATAGAACAGAGTGGAATGGAGGAGTGTTACTGAAGCCCCATGTTCCACTAGGAACCCAAAAGACAAATAAATAATAATAATTGTTCTAGCCTTAACAGTGAAGTATGCTTCTTGTACCGGCTGAATAGCTGGTGCGTTTGAGAACACTCAGTGATTCAGATAGTAAATAACAAAAGAGTAAGAAGACCAGCACATCCCGTCAGCAGTGTACTTTGAAATCGAGTGTTTAAAAACCCATGGTGACAGTTATTTGCATCTCAAGTTTATTTCGTTATATATTTTTAATCGAAACAAGTTTCTTTGAAAAATAAAGTTATACGCAGGATGACAAAAAATGGGTCAAATTAAAATCAACTTTTTCCATGAATGACAAAAAGATTGGCTTCTTCGCAATTCAATTAATACTGCAGTTCTATCTCAATAATTCTACTGAATAGTTCACATTCATAAATTGGACTAGTTTTCAATTGCATCTTGCCAACTGGATAGTTATTTATTATTGTATCTCTACACCGTATGGATATGAAAACAATCAATCAATACTGAGTGAAATTAACTTCACTACCTTTTGTCTTGCTTATGCTGAACCGCTGTCTACATCGATGTCCAATGCTAGAAGTTGGATTAGATTGGAAGATGGCTCAGGGTGGCCAAACCATGACGTGGTACCGATCCATAAAGTTTCTGGCAGTCGGTTTGAGATGTGTAGGGAGGTGTAGACTGTTTGGTTGGGGGTGAAGACTCTTGATGAAATGGCTGAAGATTGGTCACAATACCATAGATATATTCACTCATTGTCTTCTTATCAAACTTGAACATTTGTGTTAGTCTTGATTTTCAAATGCCTTCTCCTCCTATACACCTTTGTCTACTTTGATATCAGTCTTCTTCTATCCACTTGTTCTTTTCGTGCTGTTGCAAAGTGTGGCAACTTGAACCAATGCACTTCTGTGCAAGTTCCCACATTGATTCTGTCTGTCTCATTTCGCTGACATTCTGCACAGACAGATTACACCGTTTTGACCATGAATGCTTCTCATTTATTTTGACAAATAATTCATAATTCATAGTGGACTAGTGGAATATAATTGTATTTTCTCTGAGTCACTTGGTGTGACGTTAGTGATAGCAGGATAAAATTTGAATATGAGTAATAGTGATAGACACAAAAAATTGAGGTTAGGACCAGTAACAGCCATAACATAGTCGGGTCAAAAATAGAACATTTTTGAAAACAGGTCAACTATTGTTGTTTACTATTTGTGTGAGTGAGTAGAGCGTAGGTTACTGAGGTAAAACACAATTGCTATTCGTGATCACTTAGTGTTATTCCATTCACTAGCTATTTATTCAATTTAGCTCAGTATGGTTTAATTTTGTGAAGATGAGGATGCAGCCATTCAAAATTCTAGGAATTATGATATCTAGAGGTAGTATTCATCACGGACTGATATCAGTTGGGGAACCATTGAAAAACTGGGAGAAGCCGTGAACTGTAGGGTCAATTAGTCGGAAGGGAAGCAGATGCCAATTGAAGACCATAAGTAATAAGTCGCGCTATATCGTGAATTGACAAAAGTTGGAAACTATTAACCACTGAATTCTGACCCAGTGGCTGTGATTAACGCGTTCGCCGTGAAACCCTAAGTTCCTTAGTTCGATCCCTAGCCGGGTCGTGGGTGCGAACTGCTGAGGAGTCCTATACCAGGACAAAACAGTTATCCAGTGCTCCTAGGCTTTCAATCGTTCTCCAACTGATGTCAGTCCGTGATGAATACTATCTCTAAATTAAAATCCCCACACATCTCAAAAATGAATTATGATATCCCTTAAACATGAGTTCACTAAAACCTTGAACAGGCTCGTCAAAGCAGAAGCAATAACAAAACAAGACAAATGATGAATGAAATCGAATGAACTTATTCTTTGGTTTTACAGCAGACCAAAACTACACAAACCAGATATTCCTCTATGACTACTAGTCTTGCTTCCAGGGATCCCAATCTACAATCTATCCAGAAAACTATCAAGGGGACTGAAATACCTTGTGGAGCCATGTGACCATTCCATCAGAACGCCTATAAATTTTTTAGAAAGGTATCAAAGGTATTAAACGACGAGTTAATGAAGTCCTTTGGTGTCACAGCATAACACATCAAACGAACCACTGGTCAAAGATACTATGTCTCTCCTCACTGACGACACTATGCTTTCGAGACGTACAAAACTTCAGTGTTCAAGTTTGATGGAACTAATTGATCTTTGTATGGTGACACTTTTAATTTAATGCTAAGATATACAAACAGATGAAAAGGAAATCCAATGAGATCACCAATATCCAGAATAATTTCAGAAGCAGTCATGTAGAGACTGAAAACCACCATCATTTTACCCGTAATCAAACAGAAAAGTTGGATCCTCTACGAAAATGATACTTTTGTTATCACTAAAAAGGATGAATTAGAAAAAACTTACATTCTGATTAACAACATTTTTAACGACACCAAACTCACGTTGGGAAAGGAGTCGAGAAACTGACTGCCACTCCTAGATGTTTTATCTAGAAGAACCAGTGCCATAAAATTGGAAACTCGAATTTGCAGAAAGTCAACACATACCGATCAAATCCTCAAGAGCAGTAGCAACAATCAACCAACGTAAAAAACTAGTTGCGTACAAACTCCGTTCAGAAGAACAAAGACATAATGCGGTAAAACAACTCCATGTAGAAACGAGGAAAATTACTCGGTGCCTGTTCTAGAGAAGGATGGATACTCACGAAACCTTATCAGAAGTCTATCCCGTTCATCATCAACTACAAAGTCATCTACGGAGATCAGCAAACCGATCATCCCTCCATACCTAAAGAGCATATTAGAGATCACGACAAAATAACTGAGACCACTTGGAATTGGTGTGGCACATAAACCAACAAATTTCCTTCAAACTATATTACGCTGACTAAAGGACGTAACAGCCAAAGCAGGCAAATCAAACATTGTTTAAAAAATCAACTGCAACAATTGCGATCCACACTACGTTAGAAAAAATGGTCGCTCTCTTCGTCTTCGCTTATATGAACATCGGTTGGCTTTAGACGTAACGACATTTGGTCGACCATATCAATGCACATGGATAACTATGGACATGAATTCAACTTTGAAAATCCTGGACAGAGGAAATACAAAGAATATCAGAAAATTCCTAGCAGCTTGGTACTCACGTCAGTCAGCAATAAATAGACGTATAGACAGAGACCCAATATATCAACTAATCAGAAGTGGTGAACAACTAAAAGGTCAGAGGTCAGGCAGAGAAATGGCCAGTCGGAAAATCTATGCAGAAAACGATCCAACCAGAGGAAAGTTCCAACCACAAACCACTTCGGGAGAGTTAATGAATCACTCACGGAGAAATATTAACAGCTCACTTCATACTGAAGTTAGTCCTGATGATGTTGTCTAGAAAGACAATGAAAGCTCCATGATTAAACCAACCATCTCAAAGAGTGCAACCCAACTAAGATAGACTGTACACTTTACGCTGAGTACATAAATATAGTTTAAGCTGAAATGAACTATCTACTCAATATAAAAGATATCAAAACTAAATGAAAGCGATGTTAAAAATTACTGAGATGCTATGCGTTGCACTGACTCTATGCAGGTTTCCCAAACCTCGGTAAATGGAGAAGCCTTAGAACTGATTATCCTTTAGTTGAAAATCCAGTAGTAATGCCACTGAGCTACAGAGATCTAAAAATTGGGATACATCTGCTTCAATCAGAGATTGTGAGTTTCCAACCACTGGTTTCTGTTGTCAAGCGGACACCAACCAGGAAGTCTAGACGCTTCAGACCAATAGTTAGAGAATTCAGACATTAATGTCACGTTTCAGTCTGGTCATCTCTATTTTTTTTTGCACTGATGGACAATAAAGAAATTTTGCTGAGCATATGTAATTCTTTGTTACACAGATGACAATCTTAGTATAGAAAACGCAATAAAACTGTCATTTAAGAACTGAAATACATCATATAATCGAACTAGAATATATATATATATATATATATATATATATATATATATATATATATAAATGCAATACTCACCAATTGTGCAAGCAGTTTCTTTGGCATCTCCAGTTATCATAATGACACGTACACCAGATTCGCTAAGTATTCTGACACAGGCTTCTACACCAGGACGTGGTGGATCAATTAGACCGATTAATCCATGAAAAATCATTTGACCTGAATGCGTACCTTTAGCCACCGCCAGTACACGCAAACCTAAGTTGCCAAGTGAGGAAGCTTCATTGAGTATTTGTTTCTTAGTTTCTGTATCCAATGACTTAACACAACTATGAGAATAACGATTCGATATGGGCGAATGATCAGAGGATGATGGCGGTATAGAAGTTGTGGAATTATTGAAGATGGATGAAAATGCGCAGCGATTAAGTATCTGATCCACAGCTCCTTTGGCAAATAAACTACTTCATCAGATGTCTAGGGATAAAATATGAAACAAGTAGAAACACAACGACTATTTATGGGATAAAATTTACTTTTAACGTAAAAATGTTAATCGAAGGAAAACGTCCGTATATGGCCTAATTTGGCACTAGTAACAAAAGGATTCCTAATTTCAGATCGGTGGTTTGTGGAGAATCGAACTACCTGAGGACAGTTTTATTCACAAATTACCATAATCTAAACAATCACCGAGAACTCTGATACATACCTTAATTCAAAATACTTTGGAGATACGCACGGAAGTTCTTTACCAGCACTTCTCTTCAAACATAGGTTCTAACATGGAATATCATAATTCCAAGTTATTGAGTCAAAAATGTAGGATAGATACACTTCCCCTTTGATTAACTCATTATATTATCAGAGTTCTATTTTCATTTTCAGCATATTTTGAAACCAGACCTCAGAGATTAGTGTTAAAACCTTTTAAAGTGTATCCAGAAGAAAATCAGTAAGTAGTAAGCCATTTAAATATATGATGAGATATCCTCATCATCAACTGATTAAGAATGATGCTTACAATGGCTTCAGTATTTACTAAAGCATTGTGAGATATGGAAACATGCTAACAAACAATATGAGTAGTTAGGAAACACTTTTGCTGATCACCAGCCAGACTAGAGTGATCTAAACGCCAAAAGATAGCTTCGTTGCTAGGTGTATAATTCAACAACAGTGTACATGGATGAATTCAGTTCACAAAACCAAAATTTTCATATCCATTTGTTATGTATTCCGAATGGATACAATATGTACGCCTGACTGACAGCTAACTTCGTACGCAAGATCCCCTGACTCCAACCCGGACGAAATAGAGAAGACTGAACTGGATGGGAAAGTTTATTTCTCCGAGAAGAATAATCAATAAATCCAAAAATATATGTATATATACATGACACATGATGTCCAGAAATTGAAGCACTAATGCAATAAAGACAAGTATAAACCATTCAGAGAATTACCTTGAAAATGAGGGGGGAAATAAACTACTGACCATGATGCAAAAATTGTCGCGAAAATGACAATTTACAAATCTTTAGATGAATAAACAATGTTTTATCCGAAACTGGGGCCTTCCAATACCACTGAATCTCGTTAACTGACTTATGTGAGCCGATATATCTTAAGTAGGATAGTAAATTTGCGAAATATTTACAAACTGCACGACCTGAATAGTTTTTTAACTGCTTATTTACAATGTCAATTGGGCTTCAGCGGTAACATACACAGTCAAGATCACTTAGTGTCATCTCGTGCACAAAAATGTTATCAGCTAACGAAATATACCACTGAACAACACGGATAGCTAACGGAAAATTGATCGATTCCAAGCAACAGTCCAACAAAATATTCACATTAACAACACCGTGCCGTCAAAAATAAATAGAGGATAAACGAACAATTTGTTTCAGAAAACAATCCTTATCAAAAGAGGTTATATGCCAAGTGGAACACAAATCGAACTGTACTAACAATTACAAATCGTCTGACACTCAACCGACAATTTTCACCTTGACGTGGTGACCAGGCTTGCGCATCACAATGACCCAACCAGCTATAGTATAGCTGGAACGATTGCTTCTTGATCTCGTACCATGCCAGAAAGATTTTTGAATGGTAGTAAGACTGAAAGCGATTGGCGTTATAGAGTGAATAGCTTACGATATGGTGCGCTTACGAGGGTGAGGTTGTACTACTGAGTGGATGGGATGTAACAGCAGTTAGGTGTTTCTTTTGAATGACCAGCAGTCCATGCTGATGCGGCCTTCTTTATAGAAGTGTTGAGGTTAGTTCCGAAAATACCACACTCTTCCTTGTCGGACAGTCTTCCGCTGTGTGCAGTATGGGCTTTTTGTCCGACAACAGCATAAAATCTCAATCAAAACTCTGGAAAAAGGCGTATAAGATCGGCCTTAAACAGATGCCCCTTTCTCTCTGTAGTCATGCACCACTATTACTGATTTGTTTTCTCTTTCTGGTATCGTTGAGAAACAACTTCTGGAGTGCGGGTAACCAGGAATTATCAACAACCGGCACATCAACAACATATGAAATCCAAATAACCTGTCTTACGAAAGACAGTTAACATTGGATAACACTATAGTGTTTGATGGATGTTGGACTTGAAGCCTAGCAAAGACAGCAAATCACTAGCAATCACTTACATTCAGCAACCAAAATTATCTTTCACTTACAAATCAACGACAATCCAGGTCCGTAAAGTATGATAAAGAGAACGAAGTAACTTAAAAAGTGCTCAACTTTTCTTACAAAGTACCAATGAAGCCATTCAACCATTTAGAGGACGAAATACCAACCAGTCAAACACCAAAAGGTCAGATACCATTAAACAACTGTCATTGTGAATTTTTGAACAGTAAATCTTCCCATATCAAAACTGAACAACAACCTATCTGACACGTAGCGACAAAAGGCAGCCAATAGGGGAGTTGTTTTCAAGTCATGATCAGATCATGATTTATGCATGCGCTGACATGAGAAACTGATTGGAGGAATTCGATCTCATACAAGAAATCGGATTGGTTCATTTATGGGGCTTGACTTTCTGAGAGTTTTGTAATACATATATATCACGTATTTGCTTAGTAAAAGTTGTCGCTGTTCTTGCAGTTACAGGCCATCTTTGTCTTTTGATTTTACGCGGCTCAGTGAGGCAGAAGCTACTGAGGGAGGTCAGTCGTAAAGGTATTCGGTTGAGGTGTCTGTTGAGTCTCAGTATTCATCATAGCCACGCGCGCAACCTCACCACTCGGTCAAAACACTATCCAGCAATAAACAACAGTCCAGAATTACATAGTTACTTTAAAAGTGGGAAATCCAGTACCTTGGTTAATTTCAAAGGTATAAACAATAGGAAAACACTGATAGCCACTAACAACTACTTACCGATGACTGATTATTCCGGATGCATTTGACAATCATAAGTTTCGATTCTGAACTAAATGGCCATTCTTGTAGACGAGTATAACAAGTACGTTCGTCTGGTACATGCATCTACAATTGTTTTTTTTAAAAATCATATCAGTATCAGGAAAAGAGAAAAGAAAAGACGGTATATTGTCCCTCCCCCACCCAAACAAAAACTAAAATTCTAACGAAGTAATAAATACACTGTGTTTGCTGATGATTTTATTTCACTGTTCACGTTAGCATCTTCCCACTGGCTGGCGCTGATGATAATCTCCTTCATTAACAACACTCCCACGAGTTGCAAATAAATATATTTGCAATAGCGATCTCTAGTATCGATAAACTTTGGCTGAATTAGTTACTGAATATAGTTGGAAGTAGTTAAGTGGTGGAGCTTATATTATTCATTGCTGGGTAGTCGGTTTCACCTTTAAAATCATTACTTTCTAGTAGCCGCATCAGCTGCTGCTCTTCACAAACAAGGATAATGACTGAAGTTAAGGATCTGGCATTAGCCGATAAAAATGATCTCATCTGCTGCCTTTGCATACGAAGAGATGGTGCAACATTTAGCGTGAGATGAAAAGCAGACAATCATGTATCGATGAAATACATGACAGCTGGGTAAATAGAATGCTGTGATTGAAATGATAATTTGGTATTATGAACAGATGGATCTTGTAAGTTAGTTGACAGAACTCTGAAGTCGTGATTCGTAGGGAACTAGTTCAAATCCTGTCAGCAGTCAGGTGCTACTTATCAGCTTTGATAACCGTGTTTGGTGATGAAATTTCCGAAACAATAGGAGGAATCGAGAGACAGAAAGTATAACGCAATGTATTTCAAATTATGTACCGCTGAGAACTGGAATACTGTTTTTCTATCTCACTTTCTTTAAAAAAAGTGGAAAGTGACCTTCCTAGAATATATCAATAGGATGTGCTGTAGACGATGCATTCAACAAGGCATATTGGAGTTCCAATATAACTTCAACTTATTAGCCAGCTATTTAGTTATCAGTTTGACTGTCTGAAACAGTCGTAGTTTGCCAGACTTGTATTACTGATACTGGGTGAAGATTCAAAGTGAAATGAAAACTTGGAGCGTGGCAGGATTCGAACCCGGGGTCCCTGGAAAATGAATTTCACATGAAATCAACTACTATGAAAAAATATCAGTTTTCGACACATATACGTTTTATTTTTGCAAACTTTACTTCATGCAAAGCCAGATAGATAGATCATCAGACCAATGTTGATCGGTTCGCATTGTTTTACATGATTGAGTATGGCGTTCACTAGTCCATTTCTCTGCTGTGATAATTTATCGATCAACTGTTCTCACCGAGTTATAATTATCATGAGGTTCATGGGGATTTTTTTAATGGTAACATACATCACAAACAGACATCAGTTGGAGAATCATTGGAAGCACTGGACAACTATTTCGTCCATGTATGGGACTCCTCAGCAGTACGCACCCATCTCATAATTAACTGACTGTCAGATGGTGGATGAGACAGGTTTCTAAGTAGGTTTTAAAGATCTAGTATGCTGCTATGTGTTGATGAATACTGTACATTTGTTGTCAACTTGATTACCCTCATTAATGATGATAACACTTCACGCAATCTCTTTCGTCCTATCTCTCTCACTCCCAACACTAATATTGCTTCTTACAACAAGACTGAATACCATTTAGACAACTTTGTCAGTTCTAACATTTTTGTTTTCATTTAAATCTACATTTATTTCCACCTCAGCAATAGATTACTTAAATGTTTCTTTAGACCGATTCATTGTCGAATGACTTTAAAGGCTACTCTAACAAATGCTTAGGTAGCCAACTAGGTTTCCTTATTTTTAAAAAAAATATCTACCATTGAATGCGATATATCGAAACCTGATTGGTTATTTTAGCAGTTGACAGGGGGGCCTTTAAATTCACTCTTCAATGTCACCTTCATATTGATTGGTTTAGATATTTTAGCGCTCTGTATTTCTCTCTCTCTCTTAGTTATACTTTTTATTAACTACTACCAAAGCTTATCATCACGGCTAAGAGTTTTGTTTACATGCATTACTGTACTCAAGTATGACTAGCAAAATAAAATTTAGTTTCAGTGTTCTCGAGTACACAAGTCACTGTATCTTTAGTGTTATATGTTATTGTCATTATTACTAATCAACAAAAACTGCTATCATTACTGACTGATTGTTTCCAGTTGGTTTGATAGAACAAAAACAAGGATATCATATGTATACAGAGTAGTTTATTATCACAATTGAATTGTAAAAGATAATGAATTAGCTTAATTCAATCAGTTGTTTATTGTGCATCATACACTGTTAGCTTACACAAGATCAGAAGCATGTTAGACTGAATCATCCTAGGGAGTCAACGAAACAATAACTCAGTACTAAAAGAATCCAACAGTATAAAATAAAAGTTATTAACAACTATGACAAGTATAAC